TCTCTTCAGTCTCACACATGATTGCAGCATGGAAGCAATTGGTTTGGAAATTGGCCTGGAAGAAGACCAAGTTGTGCTTTTTTTTTTGCTTTCCCATGTTTACTTGATAGTTTTCCCTACAAAAATTGTTTAATCTGACCATTTTTTGGAATGTTTGCAAGGTTTATTTTAAGTCCTGTATGCACTAAGGCGCTGCTGTGCCAGAAACCCTGCGCCCTTAGGGTGGCTTATTGTGTTCTTTTTTTTACTGTGTCGGTGCATGTTGGCAAAGTAAATCAACTACTTCAAAAGGAAATTAATTTGCTTCCTGCCTTTACATGTTTCAAAGGTAGCAGGGAATATAAATAGAGTAAGTTGCAGTAAAATACCTCTCTACCTTCAGTCCCTGAGATCCTTATTGTACAGGGGTCAAAAGTGACCCAAGATGCCATCTCACAGGGGATGGGGTGCTCTGGGTTTGCTGCTAGAGGGATGTTGGTCCAGTTGGGGTAATTCAGGGTAAGTCAGCATTCACCTGAGCGCTGTGCAGCCGGGGCAGCTCTGTGCTGGTTGGAGTAGGGAAACCCGGGCATGCGGCTGGGGCTTCGAGCGATGGAGCTGCTAGTGCACTCTTTATAGGAGCAGCTTTACTGCGTAGATGAGCTGCTGTCCACCCCGGTTTCCTCTTAGGGATGCTCAGGACTGCATGTGTGGTCCTTATCTTCCCCATGCAGCTCATTACCACTGATCTCCGCGGCAGAGCCTGACAAGGGGGAGGACTTTCAGGTCTGCCTCCCTTCTCCCAGTCCTCCTGTCCAGACCACAGTTGTGGCTGCTCTGAAATTTCCTTCTGGCTGCCTGGCCATCAAGTCATGCTCAGAGTGGCTTTAAAAATGCTTCTAGTTTGCCCTCTGTCATTGCAGGAGTGTTACTTGATCCTCGGATCTGTCTGTGCCCAGCTTGCTCTCTAGCTTCATTTGTTCTCGTGTTGTTTGGGTCTCTCCGATGCTCAGGTCACATCACTAATATATCTCGTTCATCAGTCCTCCCAATTCCTGGCCAGGCTCTTATCTGTGCTGCAGCATCCCTTCATCTGTTCTGGGCCAGCTCCGTGTCCTGTAGCAGGTGTCTGCAGAGCGTGCTGATAACGTGGCTCTGACTCCCCCAGCCACGTTGCTGTTCCTTGCTCGGATTTGCCAGCTCCCCCTTCTCTTTCCCATTTCAACAAAAGTTGTCTGCACTTCTCACCCTGTCCTCTCCCCTCTGCTGTGTCTCGCCGTGCATCCCTCACATCAGACTCTCTCCGTAGTTAAATCTGCACTACCTACACTAACCCTTCCGTGCTCCCCTTCTGGGAAAACACTTAGTGCTCGTCCTTCTGGCCAGCCATGTCCTCAGGTTACCTGTGCTCTGTTTTGACCAGCCTGGTCTCAGTGATTTCTTACGTACCTGCCACCACCCCTTCTGTATTGCTATTTAGCTGTGGTGACCCCTGTAGGAAAGGAGCTTTGTGTGCATAGTTCTCAGGTGGGTCCCTTTTCATGCTGTATGTTCAAAAGTGGGCGCTGAAACAAAGAAATCAACTCAACAGTCAGAATCCGGTAGAACTGTTAAGCAGTTACTCTTCTATTGGCAGTGCTGGGGTCACCCTGGGGGTTCTCCACCATAAGGGCTCCCGAGAATTAGCAAGGGACGTCGGTTTACAAATCATACACGCTCATTAGATTCCCTAGAAAGGGGTGTCTTATGATAAGGAGTTCCCAGAATTTATTTGCATAATCTGAGCACGCGTAGTGAAAATAGGGTGAGGGTCTGTGGTGGTGGAAGTAAGCAGTCGTCTTCACAGTGTTCCAGAGCATGTGCTGTGAAGTCAAGTCCGGGTGTCTCCGTCCTAAGTCAGCAAAATCAGTTTTTCTGCAGTAGGATCTCAGTGTCTCTTTGTTCGAGCCCCCCTTATCTCACTCTGGAGTTGCCCAAGTGCCCACTGAAGGCCTCGACTCTGCTCTCAGTGATTTCCGTCAGGAGCCTGACGAGCGTTTCCATCTTACCTAAACAAAGGGACCTACAGAGACAGCTGAGTCGGGAGTCCTTGGGAAACGAATGAAGCAAAGTACAAGCCAAGCTTGCATACATCACAGTTTAGTCTTAATAACTGTTACAAATTCATTTGCTTGAGCCTTTTCATTCCATTTCAGCACCCTGCTCCAAGTCTGGCTGTAGGATGTGTCTGTCTGGCCCTGGCTGCCTTGGGGATATTCCCTTCTCTGCTCTGACTCTGCCTTTTTGATCATGTTCTCCAATTATTACTTCTTTTGAGGGGGAAAAAAAAAATCCTAAATGAGACCAGTTGTCTTCATGCAGGAAGGAAAGTATCTGGCAGCCCAACATACAGAACTCCCAGTAAAAATGTGCTGTAACAACTCTGGGTACTGGTAGGAACCACAGCTTCTTGCTGTTCTAAAAAAAGGAAAGGAAAGGCTGGAAATAACATAATCCCAGGAAAACTAGAACAATTGCTGTTGTCAGAGTCAAGTATCTAAAATGAACCCACACCAACAAGCGAGTCAGGACTCCTAAAAGTAGAGATTGTTGAGGGAAACCTGCCTGCATCCGAGCTGCGTTCATCCTGCAGCCTGCTGATTTTTGAGAGCTGCGCGAGAAAGGGCCTGGTGAAGCCTCTGGGTAACAGAGGGCGAAGTGCGGTAACCACCGCTGTGATAGATCGCTTACTGCCCGGGAGGCAAGAAAGCAGGACTGAAAATGGGAAGGAATACGCCAGAACCGGGTCTGTCCTGGTCCTGCAGGTCTCTGCTGCCTGTAAGGTGGTGGCCAGTGGATGGCCACCAGCAGGGGGAAGGTCTTCGGGACTTTGGAGTCTTCAGCAGCAGTGTCTGTGATCATGCCTCGTCCCTTCGTGGTCACTAGTGATCCCCCGGGATCTGGGAGGGAGCAATGGGGGATCTTCCCCCGGCCAGCCGAGCTCTGTGTCCCTCCTCACCCGAGGGTCGTGCTGCTTTCTCTGTAGGAATGCTCAAAGTCTTTCTCTGTGACAAAGATGCAGATTTGGGCACGGTTTGATCTGTAAAAGAAAGCGGGTTTGTGTTACCTTCCTCTGCTGGGGCCAGCCCAAGACTGTGGCCCCTTGGCTGCTGTCCTGCCTTGTCTGCTCAGGTGCAAAGCTTTCTGCTAGTTTCTCGCTCTCATTTTACTTTTTGTGGGGGTTGGTTTTGGTTTTTTTCTTCAGTCTTGGTTTCTTAGGTGCTCAAGTGATATGCTTTTTTCCTTCTCTGTCATCATCTCAGTGAAAATACTGGGTCCACGGGTGCTTGCGTTCCCCACTGCTGGCCCTGGCTGGGTGCCGGGCTCCCTGGTGAGCAGCACTGCCACAGCTTGCTCGAGCCCTGAGGACAGTGCCGTACCCTTGAGAGCACTCCTTCAGAGCTGTCCTGCAGTCTCTCAGGTGGACACGAGCATTTCAGATTTGATTTAAATCAGGACTGAAACTCTAAAATGTCACAATTCTCCAAAAGGAACCAGAGGGCTGGATTTGGGGCAGTTGTCCTTGTGGCTTGGCCAGGCCGCAGACCCAGTATCCTGGTTTCCCATAGCCCCTACACCAGTTGCAGAGTCCTGGATGTGTTTCTATTGAAGCTCAATCCAAGACCTGTCAGATCTTTTACTAAGCCAGGCTTTACTGAACCCCCCTCTAACTTCTAGCTGCTGCCTGCTCCTTGCGACTACAGTGACGCACCGGGGCAGCTCCTGTGCTGCTGCCTGCCTGTTGTGGTTTGAGCCCAGCGGGCAACTAAGCACCGCACAGCTGCTCGCTCACTCCTTGCCTCTCGGGAATGGGAAGGAGAGAATGAAACAAAAGGCTTGGTAATCAGGCAAGGACAGGAGGGGATGACTCACCCGTTATGGTTGTGGGCAAAAGACAGACTCATTAGGGGCAGAAAAAGAACATCAATTTAATTTAAGCACCACCACCACTTAATTTAACAATCAGAGCAGGACAGTGAGAAATACAACCACCCCTTCAAAACACCTTCTCCCACCCCTCCCTTCTTCCCAGGCTCAGATTTGCTCCCGATTTCTCTCCCCCCTCCCCTGCAGCAGCGCAGGGGACGGGGACGGGGGCTGTGGTCAGGGCATCTCCCCTTGTTTCCACTGCTCCTTCCTCCTCGGGGGCAGGACTCCTCGCATTCTCCCCCTGTGCCAGCGTGGGGTCCCTCTCACGGGAAGCAGTCCTCCAGGAACTGTCTCTGACGTGAGACCTTCCTGTGGGGTGCAGCTCCCCCCAGACTGCTCCAGCGTGGGTCCCTCCCGTGTGTCACAGCCCTCCCAGTGCTGAACTACAGCAGCGGGGGCTGCCCTCGGCGTCCCGGCCTCCCCCAGGCACAGCCCCTCTCCGGCGTGGGGTCCTCCCCGGGCTGCAGGTCGGCATCTGCTCCCCCGGAGCCCTCCATGGGTGCAGGGACAGCCCGTCCTCTCCCCAGGGGCTGAGGGGGGGCTCTGCGCCAGCCCACCTCCCCCCCGCCGCCTCCTGCCTTCCGCTGACCTCGGGGTCTGCAGAGGTGTCTCCCTCGCAGCTCCTCCTCGCAGCTCCCGCTCCTCCTCCAGTTCCCCTCCGTAAATCCGCTGTCACAGAGGTGCAGCCGCTGTCGCTGCTCGGTTCGGCCTTGCCCAGCGGTGGGTCTGACTTGGAGCCAGGGGAGCTCGAGAAGCTCCTCACGGGGGTCCCTGCAGTAACACCCCCCCACACCCCCCGGTACCGAAACCCCCACCACAACAAACCCAACACACTTCCTCTGCACATATTCCTTCAGTTGTCTCTTCCCTTTCACTTGTTAAAAATATACTTGACACTCTCTAGCTCTGTCTTTGTGAAGGTTTGTGCGAGTGAAGCGCGTGCACCAGGTGCACACAGACCGCAGAGCTTCCCAGCCTACAGCCCTGTTTTGCTAGCACGCTGTGTGCTCTGCGGGCTGCTGACTTGTCCCTTTGTCCCTTCCTTCCTGCAGTGGCTAAAGGATCCCGGTCCCCGCAACGAGAAGAGGACCCTTTTCTGTGACATGGTGTGTTTCCTGTTCATTACTCCCCTGGCAGCAATCTCCGGCTGGCTGTGTCTGCGCGGAGCCCAGGACCATTTGCAGTTCAACAGCCGACTGGAGGCCATCGGACTCATAGCACTAACTATAGCACTTTTCACAATCTACGTCCTTTGGACGCTGGTAAGTGTCTGCTGGTCAAGGCCTTGTTTCTGTTCAAAAGGGAGATCGAGGTCCTGGCTCAGCTGTTTCTGAGTCCCCTTGTGAGAAAACCTTGGGGGTCTTTCTCTCGAACGTCCGTTTAATTATCGTCAAATGGGAGCTGCTAGAGTTTGTTGCTGAGAATGAGAAACCACTTCCTGATCATCTGCCTTCCAGATTGGCATGGGAGCTGCGTTCCCTGGGGTGTCACGTACCCAGGCTCAGACATGCTCGAGTGTGGCGGGGTGGGAAGCTCTGGTGCTGGGGGCAGGCAGCGCTCCAGCTGTTGTGCCTGTTCCTGTTTTTGAGAGGAAACGCAAACTTGCTACCCAGGTGGTTTAGGGGAAAAATAAAATCTGGAAAATATTTTGCCCCTGAATAATCTGTCATCGTGTCCCTCCATGCTTTGTCCTGCCCAGGTTGGCTGTCCCCGAAGGAAATGCATCCTGGCTGCTGGGGGGCCTCTGTGGGCCAGGCCAACAAATTCCTGCACAATATTTTTAAGATGTCAGTAGCACAGGAGGGTGTGTGCAGGGAACACTCTGGCCCTGGGGAGATCTCTGACTTCTCTCTCACACTGGGCTTTTGGACTTGAGCCCTGAGCCAAGCCTGGGGAGCCAGCCTGCCCTGCTGGGGCTGGGGGCGCTGGGCATTACTGGGAACCGGCGCTTGACACCGCCTGGGTGTTGAACTGATCTGTGCTTGGAAGGAGCTTCCCGCAGATGCCTCGTGTCTTTTTGGACATGCTGAATTCGGCAGCCAGGAACACACCGCTTGGGGCGAGTCCAGAAGAGGAGGAAAGTAAATGTGAATTTACTGCGCAGCACGTCTGTGAGCGCTCACAGCTGAGAGCCCAGAGGAGCAGCTGGGATGGGGAGCAGCTCCCTGCCCTGCCCCTCCCCGAGCCCCTGGGGCTCCCCTGGACCCGCTCTCTCCAGGGCTTCCCAGACCAGGGACTTCCCTCACGTTTCCCATTCGATTCTTTCATGTTCTGTTGCTAGGTGGGTTTCCGAGTTTGGGTTTTCATTTCAGCTCTGCCGTTCAGATCCCTGTGCGTGCTTATGCACTGTCGATACCTTCTTCCATCTGCTTGCTGGGAAGCACCGTTTTGGGAAGGGAAGAAGTGCAGTTGCTGGAGAAGTAGTTGGGACCACGATAAGCCGACAGTTCTGCGGGCTGTAGAAATGCCACAGCCCACTTCCCTGCCATCTCACGCTCTGATCTTTCAGAGAAAACTTAAGAGGAAGCGTTTATGACTGGTCTGGAGGAGCTGGAAATTTGGAGGAAACAAAAATGGGTTGCGTTGTGAAATAATGAGTCCTGACTAAAAATGGCTCTCGTTCTGCTGCGCTTCACGTTTCCTTGAACAGGGAAGGCCGTTAGGTGAAGCCCCTTGATTCACACTTACCATATTCAAGGAGTTCTTCCGTGCCCCCGTGGGCTGCGCTGCACAAAGGGCCCTGAAGTGGGTGGGTGGTGATGGCTGTGACCCGGGTGAGGATTGCAAGAGACACTGCGGCCAAGGTCGTAGCTCCTTTCTGTGGAGCAGGAACTTTTCCTGGGCGTTTGCGCCATTCACATGCTGTCTTTGAAGACTCTGAGATGCATTTGTTTCTTGTTTGTCAGCAAACAACCTTATTCCCACAGCTGTCCCTCTACAAGAAAAAGGGGAATGCACAGAGCAGTAAGCTAAATTACCTCAGTGCAGTGGCACAGCCCCGTTTCTCAGAGGAGGTGTCTGTGACCTATCCAGAAGTAGTAGGAATACCGACACTTCTTTGTCAGACATCCTTCCCGGCGCTTCCGACTTGCCAGCTAAACATTTCCTGTACTTTTACAAAGTACGAAAGCTTGGTTTTGATCGGTGGCTGACTGGATTCAGTATTTAATTTTCTTGCTCACGGTTTCTAGGAATAAATATGAGGGGAATACATGCTGGTTTTTTCACTTCCTCAAGAAATTCTACACAAGTTTAATGTCAAAGCTAAGGAGCTCTGAGGAAATACGTAGCAGTGTTAATGATGAGGAAGGGAGGCAGCAAGGAGTGCAGCCTGGTGGGGAGGCACAGCTCGAAGCTCCCCTTGGAGGGCTGCTCTGAAAGTGCAGGGTCAGCTCACGCCTTTAGGCCAGGCTGGTTCAGATCCCTTCCAGCCTTCGCATCCTCTCCTGTCTCCCTCCGGGTGGACAAGCCTTCCAGGCCACAGTGTTGGCAGAAAAAAATGAGTCCAACCAGCGACCTGTTGTTGCACACCAAGGAGAGAAGGCTTTTGCGAAGGGCAGAGGAGATCCCCAGGATCTGTGAGATGGGAGGGGGCCAGCTGGATTCAGCCACTTGAGCCTGGTCCCGCTGAGAACCCCTCACTTCACCCAGGCAAGGTGCTCGCTCAGCCTGTGGGTAGGGTGCAGGGCTGGGTTGTGGTTCCTCCCTGGTACCCAAACCTAGATGAGCAAACTCTGTCCCTCCGTCCTGGTGCTGCCCAGAAAGCCCCTTTCCCTGTGCCATGCTCAGCCTGGTGTTACTCGGAATTAACTGATTTCTTGTCAAGGGCTGGGGCCGTGGAGTGCCTCAAACCATTTCAGGGTCGGTGCTGTCTCTTGGCCAGGGCGTGCTGATGACTTGACAAGGAATATGCAGAGAGCACGCAGAGGGTGGGTGGGCGAGTGACGGTGTCTCACCGGCCCTCTGTGGGCTCCAGCTCTCGTGGGGGGGTTGGTAACGGGACGATGCGTTATCGCCCTCCAGGTTTCGTTCCGCTACCACTGCCAGCTGTACTCGGAGTGGCGAAGGACCAACCAGAAAGTCCGCTTGATGATCCCAACCTCGCGGAGCCCTCACCCTGTGCCCCACTCCCTCCTCTCCGCCAAGCTCATGAAGAAGACCGCGGATGAAACCACCGTCTGAGCCGTCCCCTGGCCGCTGTGCCACGTGGCTGCGGGGCCCAGGGCAGCCCGTCGGGGCTGGCAGGAGCAGAGAGGGTCGGGCGTCTCCGCATGCGCAGGACACGTGGCGACTGTGGAGGCACTAGAAACCAATCATCCCACCCGAAGGGACTTTGCGGTCAGCACATACTTTATACTACGTCAGACAGATAATCAACGTCTGTCGTGTGAAATGGCCCAAAAGATCCAGATGGCAGAATATGCCTGTCTGCAGGGACACTTTCCTATAACTAAATACCACACGTGGAAAATATCTCCCCCTCTATATATATATATATCTATATATAATATTATTTTTTAATGGCCATGCATATTGTGTTTCAGTCCTTTTGTGTTGATGTTCTAAGCTTCAGTATAGAAGCTGGCAGCCTGATCTCATACAGAGGTTAAATCTATGCCTTTTCTCCAAATGAGCATATAAAGAACACTTTTCATCAACCGTTCTTGAAAGTCCCCTTCTCCTTTGCACTAAATTGGTTTTGATAATACTGCAGCAGCCTTTCCCGTTACTCTTTGGTCTCTTTCGTGGTGTTTCTGTCCTTTCTAGAAAGTTGTGTGTTTTTAATAATTATTATAATCCCAGAAGGAGTAAAATGATGTAATACTGAATGGAGACATTTTGTATTGTAAAGTACTGTAATTTTGAGAATTTCAAAATAAGTTTCAAAATGAGAAAATCTTTTCCTGTGCAGACGTGATCTCACAAGATGCTTTCCTTGCAGATCCTGGCTCATCCCCAGGACTTGGATGCACTCAGCTCTTGGTATGTCTGGCAGAGGTAGATAGATGGAGGATCTGAGGGTGGGAAGCAATGGCTCGTACTAGCTAAACCCACCACTGCCTTTTGCTTTGCAAAGATTCAGGAAGGAGCTTTCCTGACCCCAAAAGGTGAGAGTCGGAGTCTCTGTTTGCTGATGTTCTTTCACCATCCTGAGGCTGGACCTCTCGCAGTTGGTTACACACACACTTCACGGGACAGGCCCTGCTCTGCAGCCGCTCGGCAGGACGCAGGAGGGCTCGGCTGTCTCTCTGAGCTTATTTGCACGTTCCTCAGCAGCAGCCCCGCTTGCTGCTGGGGTTTGGTTCATCCCTGAAAGCGCTGCCTGCCTGGTACGTGTCCTCTGGTGAAACACCCCAAGTTTGCTGGTTCCCAGGAAACAGGCTCTGGGTCCCTTCTTCTGCAGGGCCAGCATTCCTCCTCCTCCTTCATCCACCTGCGTTTCCAGCACATCTAGCTAACGAATCCCTCTGTCTTGGAGTGCCCAGTCTGCCAAGGTTTTGCTTTAGTCGTTGCCTCTACTGCCTCCCCACCCTGGCAGACGATGCCTGTGCTTGGCGCTGGGCTTTCCTGAGCCCTGCGAGCGGGGCGGGTCCGTAAGGATGCCAGTGCTGGTGCTGCCCTGCTGAGCGCTCCAAGGCGTCTGCAGCTGCTTGGCGTCAGCCTGGGTGCTCTGCCGTGATGGGGAGGGTGGATGGCAGGGGGGAAGTGGGCTCCGAGGTGCCAGTGTCCTTGCGGTGGGTGGTGGCGGTCACACGCTGTGTCCCTCTGCTCCTTTGCTGAACCTAAGCAGATCGGTCCGATGCCCTGCAAAATCAAGACCTGTCTCTGCTTGAATTCAAAGCACCAGATGCCACACCTCTCTAGCTGCAGAGCGGGATGCTTTTCCTTATGTGTTCCCTGACCCTAAGCTCGAAGTTGCTGGTGGCATGAGCATCAGGGGCTAGTGTCCTGTCTCTCCCTGCGGGATTGCTCCAGCCCTGGAGCCCGGCCTGTGTCTGCTCTTCTCCCCAGTGTGCTGTCCCAGGGTTCTCATGCAACTCCATTTTATCCCAGCACATTTTGCAGCAGCCTCTCTCTGCCCAGCTGTGGGCTGGTCTGAGCTGGTCTCTGTTCTGAGCGTGAGGGTCTCGTTTGCTTCCCTTTTCCCTGTCGTGCAGGGATGACTTGGCCCCGGTGCTCCCGGAGGTTCACAGTGCAGAGAGGTCTCTTCAGCCCAGCTGCAGTCACGGTCCCTGCACAGCAGTAGCGTCCTGCCTCCCTCCGCACACCCTGCCCTTGGCAGTGAGCGCTGCACCCCTGCTCTGTGCCTTGTCCTGGGTACCCCCTCCTTCAGCCCCTCCCCAGCAAACCCTGTGTCACCAGGACAGTCCCAGCGAGGAAAAGTTTGGGGGTTTAGCTTAACCTTCCCAGCCCTGGCAGCCTCCCAGGAGCTTGGTCTTGCAATGTGTCTAGTTGTGGCAGGTAACGAAGGATGGACGTTCCCACACCATGTTCCCCTAGTAAGGACTTAATGGAGCCAGTGTTTCAGTTAAGAAACCCACTATTGATCCAAATATGCAACTGTGAAAGCCAGAAGTCCCTGGCTGGGGGCAGCGGGGGCCTGGCCCTGTGCTGCTCTGTGGCCATGGATTCACTCTCAGCTTTGCTGTCTTTATCGTAGTTGCCAATAATTGGAGTTATTGCATGTGCCCTTGCAAAACCCAGTAGCGACTCTGAGTCATCTTCTCCTTCCCAGAGGAGATGTTCAGCTCGTGAATGTGGGAAATTAGTGTCTCCGACCTGCCACGTTCCAGTGTCATGGGGAAACGGGCTGTGCAATTATGTAAATAAAAGTGAGACAACCTTTGGGCTGTTGCGTTGTTACTGGAGGTGGGGGGGCCTGGACAGCCCAGGCTGTCTCCCTGAGAGCGAGCCCTGGGTGCTGTGGGCAGCTTTCCTGACCTGCCCCCAGGAGACCCGGCAGAAGGTTTCATATTTGAGCCAAAGCTGGACAAAACCCGGGGCTCGTTGTCATTTATGGGCAGGTTTCTCTTGTCTGCGCACAGAAAGCTCTGCGGTGTTGGCCAAGCCAGGAGGTGATGTTTGGGCCAAGGGGGTCCCAGAGGGTGGGTGTGGGGCTGCACAGTGACCCCAGTTTCTTGTCTTAAACAGAGAAGGACAACAGGTGAGAGGGGAAAAAAAAACCACCTTGAAACAGGGCATATAATTCTACAGAAAGAGACGAGAAATGCCCAAGTCTGTTTATTTCTGGGGTGCTTCTGCCCTGGACACTCGGGTAGAAAAGCCAAACCAAGCAAGCAGAGGTGTCCTGGCTGGCACCAGACAGACTCTCTGTCCTAAAAGTCACAGAGTTAACTGTCAGGAGGGTCCCCGCCGTCCGATGTGTCAATACTTCATCTTTAAGAGCTTTCTAACCTAAAGAGGCAGACACAGACTGCAAACCTGCTGCCTTCAGTTCCACCTTCAAACCAAGCAGGTGAAATCCCTCATGGAAGGGTTGGACGGCAGAAGGTCTCAAATCCTCACAGCCCTGGCAGATGCGGAACTTCGGCAGCTCTGTCCTGCCTCGGCACCCTGACGTCTGCCCCCTGGCCCCGTCTGTCCCCTCACAGTAGCCATGCCCAAGTGGCAAATGTGGCAACTGGAGCCAGGTCACCTCGAAGGGCCAAGCACTTGTCCCCAGGGAAAGGCAGCAGGGCAGCCCCCCCCCAGCAGGATCAGATCCCAGCACTGCAAACCCAGCCGGGGAACGAGGCCGGAGAGGACCCAGAGGAGAAGAAAGAAATGTTTAATTAGACACAAACCTCCAAAGTGGTTGGGGACAGGGACATGCAATTTTTTTTTTTTGCAGATGCAAACTGTGAGCTATGAGGAGGAACAGGAGATGTTAGAGAGTGCAGGGCTGGACCCAGACCCCAGCAAGGAGGCACTGGCCACTGTGGGTTCAAGAGGGGCCACAAAGTCCCTCACTGAGGGAGCCTCTGCCACCTCCTGCAGCATCACCAGGGTCTTGCTCTTTGTGGTTGTCCAGGGACATGTCAGGCCTCTGGCCTCCACAGCACCAGGGATCAGTGCGAAGAGCTCCATCTCCAACACGGAGAATATTTGCTGGGAGAATTTTGCTCCTGTGCCTGAACAGAGGTGAATAACCCTCTCAGTGAAGGGCTTCTGGCTCAGTAATGCCCTCACCCGCCTGGGCTGCTCGGAGACCAGCGTGTACAGACGAATGATCCACACATCTGGGTGGCAGGGGAAGGAGCAGATTAAGGAAGCAAGGAAATCTGCTTAAATACCTTTAAATCCCTACAAAATGGCTATCGATGACACGCATGCAGATTCATGCAAATACTCTCAGCGCTGCTGATACTTAAATGCATCCAGTCAGCTGCCTGAGCTCCAAATAAATGGGGATGGGGTGGGGGGGTAACACCCCCCAAAGCACTAGTTCTGGGGTGAATCTGGGCTGAGAGCAATCAGTCCCCAGGACTGCGAAGTGGAGCACGAGGGAAAACGCTGCTGAAAGATGCGGCTGATGCGACATGAGCCGCGTCGCGGTGGGGAGCCTGACCTGCCTCCGGCTTGTGACCGTGGAGCATCGCTCAGTGTGTAATGAGGCAAATAAAATAATCTTCATCCTTGCAACCGTAAGACCTACAAAGGTGGAAGAGGAAAGGAGGGAAAAAACCCAACCCACTGCGGGCAATGCAGAGGTAGGAGGAACAGGGAAGAGAGGCGCTGGTCTGCGGAACGGGGGGTTGGAGATGTTGGCCGGGAATCCTGCGAGGGGCAGCGGGGGGGCTCCCGGGCTGAGGTCCACCCGCTCCGACCGCCAGCCCCCTTCAGTTTAAGGAAGGGCAGGACGGAAGGAGAACCGGGGGGTCTTCCCTCCCCGCTGGCCGTGC